ATTTATAAATCGATGGTTTCCCGAGTTCTAGCTGATACGGTTTGGCTGCGTCCCTACCCAAAATCTCATGTTGATTAGTAATCAGAATTATAATCCATACATGAGATCCGATGGTTTTATAAAGGGCGTTTCCCCACTTTGCTCTAATTTTGTCTCTTACCACCCTGTGAAGAGGTGCCTTCTGCCATGATTGTAAGTTTCCTGACGCCTCACCAGCCATGTGGAACTGTGAGTCAATTAAATCTTTTTTCTTTATAAATTACCCAGTCTCAGGTATGTCTTCACTGCAGCATGAGAATGGACGAATACACTAAGCAAGTAAAATGGATTCCAACCACCTTCAGTAAGAAAAGACAAGTTTGATTTCTTGTTTGCAATTATATTCACAGCCAATTCTGAAATATTTAGATTTTTCATAATTTCCAATCATAATGATAAATGTAAAAATCTGAAATTATTGAGGTCTTGGTTTGTCAGACAGATATTATTACTGATTGTAAAATACTGCAGGACACATGAAGTGTCATTTTAGGAGGAGGAGAAGGACAAGCACATTCTAAGAGTATGCGCTCTAGAGTCAGACTGGCTCTGAACTTACTACCACTTACTGTATGGCCTTGGACAAGTCTGAACTGCAGTGTCTTCATATGTAAAACAAAAATAATAACAGTATTTGCCTCACAAGGGTAGTATAAGTTAAAATGAGATAATACATGTAAAAGCATAAGTCAGTGTCTGACGCAAGGAAAGAATTTTTTAAAATGAGCTATTCTTAAAATTAATTTTTCATTCCTGATCATTTAGACCACTGTCCATTTCTTCACATATTTTTGAAACTGTGGAATTTGTTTTAATTCCTCATTAACAGAGAAACTAGGAGAATATAATTTGTATTGCTCTTTAAAAAGAAGCATTTTGTAGATATTGATGAGTTCTTAGAACAAAACGTTATGTGCTGACAGTGAGCTTCTGCTAGGCTGTCATTGTGACACATCGGCCTGGTGTATAGGGTGGAGACACAGAGTCAAAGGTCAGAGACTAGTTCCCCAAGATGGAGGCCATGACTAGGGAAAGATTTCAAACACACGGAATTTTCTTTTTAGAAAGAGGTGGATGTAAGATACTACTTCTCAATTGATAAAATGGGAGAGGGTACTAGACAAGGTAGGTGAATTCTTTCACAGCAATCCATCATTGAAATAAAAAACGTTTCTTCGACGTTTTTTACCAGAAGGAATATTGTTAAACTTTCCCATGCGATATGAAAAATGGTTTACATCTAATTTCTGAAATGATATGAAATTAATAAAACTTTAAAAACTCATTCATGCAAATAAACCCAATGATCTCCATTCCTGTAAAGCATCTGAGTCCAGCTAAAACCAATAGTGCTTAGCGACAGAAGATCACAGTCCACTAGCTGAGTTTCATTCATGTTCTGCAATCTCTCTCCATGGCCTTCACATTCTCATACATTTCGGATGCTGGACTTCATGGCCTTTTGTTAGCTGGCTAGCATTTTCATTCCCACAATCTCTGGCACTGCTATATGAAGCCTACTCTCCATCCTGGAACCTTGCACAATGTTCCCTGCACCCACCAGGACTAATGCACTTAATGGCATGGAAAATCTGACTTCTTTATCCTTCTCCATTAAATGACTGCCCAGGATCCACTTCCTCTGTGAAATTATTCTCAAAGAGTTTGATCTAACTTCTGTTCTGAATCCCTCCCCCTGCCCATTTTATGCAAGTTTGAGTCTATCTACCTAAACTCAGGCATCCCTTAAAAATGTGAATTCTTTTTGGATGGATTTCCCAATAAAAATTTCCCATGTCTATGAGAACTCCTACTGGGTTAATGATGAAATGTGGTATGTTGGCAAATACTGATTGATTTATACAATTTCTTTGTTTTTAGTGCTAATATTCAACAAACAGAAGTAAAGCAGGTTTTTGGTATAAAGAATTTGACTCTGGACCCAAATGATTTAGTTACTAATTCCAGCTCTATTACTTACCACTGTGTTACTCTTTTTAAACCAGAGTTGTTTCATCTGTTAAATGAGAGTAATAAATAGTATCTACTTAATAGGATGATTCTGAGGATTAATTGGATAACCCATGCAAAGTACTTTTTAAAAAGGCATGATATGTATCAAGAACTCCATAAACTGTTGTTGTTCTTATCATCATTTATTTATAAGAAAAATATAGCCAGTCATTTTCTACAGTTTGATTGTATCTAATATAATGGAAGTTACCAAGTTATGAAAGTGTCAGTTTGATCTGAATTTAAGCATGTTTCCTCTTCCTCAGAAGTTCTGAAATTATATATGGAGACTGACAGCATAAAAGTAAATTATTTTTTCTTACTATGTGGATCCCCAAACAATTGGACTTGCCAATACTCTTCCCTTATTTTTGCCCACAAGACAAGTGTAAAGTCACCCATTACCTCCTAGGGGTCAAATCCAGCGGTACCACAATTCCTATCCCATGACCTCTCCTGTCACAGGTTTTGTGGACCCTCCCTTTTCTTCTTCCTTTGACTTCCAGAAAAAACGCCTGTTGGTTTTCTTCCTGTTTTGGGGGTCCAATACACTTTAGTGCCTTGTAAGCGTCTCTTCCCTTTCTTCAAAATAGTGGTGTTCTCTAGATCTCTTTCCTTCTCACTTCATGTACTTGCCCTGGGTGATGTCATACTCTCCCAAGATTTCACCAAGCTAATGACTCCACATTTACCTTTTCTGTCACTGCCTGAGTCCAGACCCTTATCATTTCCAACCTGGCCCACGTAAATTATCTCTTAAATAGTACCCACTTTAAAATTTCTCCCCCACACAGCCACCAAAATGACCTTCCTAAAGTATGAATCTGACTTTTCATCTTCAAGCTAAAACATTTCAGTGATTTTCCTTACCTCACTAGATAAGCTCCTAAAATGTTTAAGCTATCTATCCCTTTTGTACTTTAATGACCCACAATAAGAAAGTATCTACGTGTTTTTGTTGCTCAGATTATACCCAGTTCAAACTAAGAACAGTGTTCTAAGATTTTTGTTAGGATTACTCTTTTATTCAAATCATTTTCCATTATAAGTTGTTGGACAACCAACAATTTAAAATATTGCCTTAAAATAAATCAAAATAGGTTCTCGACTCCAGTGAATGAAAATCGTTGGATCTCTTAAATTGAAATGTTTTTGATAAAGGCAATTACATATAATACTTACACATACACACACACACACACACACACAGAGTGTATATATTGGTGCTTTTTTCAAAAAGGATATTGAAAGATCTAAGGAAGAATTAAGATTTTTCATGACAGTGAAAACATATAAATAAATGCACCTAAGTATACTTAAAACCAGTCATATCAAAGAAACGAGGTAATAATAAAAACTCACTATTCTATAATTTGGCAACATTGTCCAAGAGCTTAGAATTTGGATCCATTATAAATTTCAGTTACCCGTATTATACAGCCACTAAAATAAATCTTTAATATAAACCAAGGAACATTTGTTTTGAGCCCAAATGTCTCAGAACCCTCTCTCAATGTGTAGAAACTAGGTAAAGGGATGTAAAAGAATTCAAGAGAAATTGCTAGAGGAAGAGGGGGTAAAGCCCTGCTGGGTCAGAAGCGGAAGTTCTGAGTTCTATCTTGACCATGGCCCTGATCCTCAGAGATGGTAACATTGAGACAATTATTTCACTATTCAAGGTGTCTCATCTTCAGAATGAGAGGCTTTAGTTACATAGATCTCTTAGGCCCCTGACAAGTTTAGAAATGTGAATATTTAGCTACTGCATACTCACAGAACAGACAAGCCCTCCTAGAACATGCTTTGAGAAGGATCAAGTACCCTGTGTCTCTCAGGTCACTCATAGCCCAAAGACTGCTTAAGTGTCCAGACTTAATGGAGCTCCCTTATCTACACACTTGCAAACCTCCCTTTTCAGGTGCTAAAATCTTTAATTTTCTCACTGTGTTAAACAATGCTGAATATTTTTATATAACATAGCCTGACTTGTTCTAGGCACAACTCAACGGAAATTTAGCAGTACATTCAACACAAAATCCCTCTGCTGACAGACACAAGTAAAGACACCACTTGACACCTCCTTGGCCTTCAATTGACCCACACTAGAAACTCCATAAGAGAAGCAGTGGAGGCATGAACAGTTGTGTAATTTTAGCATCAGTTTCTTATGTTGGGTTATAACAGCTGTAGGCAGTTATAAAATCCAGGGTAGAATTGACTGTATCAGACAATTGAAGACATCTGCATCATCACAGTCATAGTACCTGAACTTTTTTTTTTTTCTAGTGGAGCTCTAATGTATTGGATGGGATTATCAGTGGACGGATTGCCTTCACCATTCGCGACCACATTTTGATTTATGATGAGCTGCAAGCCAGAGTATGTAAAGTTTGACTCAGGGCACAGTAGCATAATCAAGAAAATATAATGAAAAAAAGAGTCTGTATTCTACAGGGTATTAACTGAAAACTATCCCAGTATTAAGCAACTCTGTTGATATTTGGACGCATCTGTTTCAGACTGTTGTCTTGTAAACTTTCCTTTAGAAAGAAAACCCTTGGCATACAGTTACTTTTGCACCCCTGCCAAATATAGGAAAGGTCCCTCAGAACATATGAAAAAGAACGCAGTGAGTATATCTGCATTATTCAAACTAAAAGAAGCATGCAATGTGCTTCATACAACTCAAGGCAAGTAATCCACATTCCCTAAGTCAGAAGTCTGGAACTCACAGAGAAAAATCCAGCAATCCTCTAGTTTGCTTTGATTTGAAGCCTTGTATTTGTCAGAAGCCTCAGTATTAAGTCAGAAAAATGTACAAAGATGTGACATACTTAAAAAAAAATAGACAATTTTCCCAGCCAGCAAGAATCCCTCAAGTATGAGATCCCTCACACAGATCACAGACCCCACGGTCACCTGCAACTTGAGCTCCAAATGTCACTTACCCTATGACAATGCAGGAGATGGCAGTTCCCAAGAAGGCATATGTTAAAATAGATCCTAAGTTTTGAAAAAAGTGTCTCTGGAAAGAAAAGAAAGATATTTAATAGAGTACATCAAAATTTTTTCCTAGTGCAACAGAAAATAAAAATAAATGCATGCATTTCACAGGCCCCTCACTGCTTGGCAAATTTTGGTTTTGGAGCCTCATTCCTGGCCTTACTGTGCTAATAGAGACTTAACTGATTATCATTGCAAAGGAGGGGGGAGGGGGGAGGCAAGAAGGGGGAGGTGGGGAACCCACTGGAAGATGAGTAGGTAGGGATGAGAGAGGCAACTCCCAGAACTGGTTGGACCTGAGAGGGAACGAGGGACTAGGGCAATGTCTATGCCGGACTCACTGCAATAATGAAGACACAGTTTTCATGAAGTTTTGTTGTAAATGCAGCTCTTTTAGCATTTAAAAAAATACTATTCTAAGAGATTTAAGTTGCCTTTAGATTTTACTGGATCTCTGACTTCTCTTTTATGTCTTCTGAATGTGTTGAAACTAAACTTTAAAAATTGACAACAGCCTGGGTGGGGTTGCTCACGCCTGTAATTCTAGCAATTTGGGAGGCTGAAGGAAGGAGGATCATTTGAGTACAGGAGGTTGAGGCTGCCGTGAGCCATAATTGTGCCACTGTACTGAAGCCTGGGCAACAGAGGGAGACCCTATCTCAAAAACAAAACAAAACAAATCCCCCAAACCTATAACAATTCACTTTATTTTAATGAGTCAGCCACAAAATGATGCTTAGTATTGGGACTGGGAATGAGGAAGGGTGACCTGAACAAATCCAACCTTCTAAACTTTTTCAATTGCTTGCTTAGGGAAAACTCAGTTCCAGTTTTTTCAATGGGATCTGAGTAGCCAGACCTGACAGCAAGAGGGAGCCTGGAGTACACACAGGAAAATCAGGTCTGTAGTGAACAAGCTGCCAGGCTGCTGAAGATGACTGGTCAAAGGGAGAGAAGCCCCAGGAATCTCCTGGAGGGGGAGCTGAGCAGCAGAAGAGCAGCTATATCACCTCTGTATCTCAAAAACCATTCTGGAGCCTCATTCTGCGGCTCAGGGGATGCCAGCACTTAACCAATTATGTGAATTACTAATGTACAAAATGTGCATAGTCAGGCTGTACTTAAGTATTGTTAGACAAGTGCATAGAAACTGCAAAACTGGACTTTCCTCTCTATAAGCATCAACAGCATTCTTCAATTTTCACTTTAAAGGATAAAGAATGTTAATTAATAAGCAAAGTCTTTGGTTACAATCATCCAGAATAGTGCTCTCCGATAGAAACATAATGCAAGTCATATATTTAAAAAAATTTTAATTTTCTAGTAGCTATATTAAAACACTTTTAAAAGGTGAAATATGTTTTGATAATGTTTTGCTTAATCCAATCTATCCGAAATACTAACATTTCTACATGAAATCAATATAAAACATTATGGAGATATTTTAGATTCTTCTCATAAATCCAAAGTCTTTAAAATCCAGTGTATATTTTACACTTAATGAATATCTCGATTCAGACAAGTTGCATTTCAAGAACTCAATAGCTACCTGTGGCTAGTGGCCTGTATTGGACAGAATAGGTTTAGAAGAATTCTAGAATTCTAAGCATGTCAGGTTTAAATCTATAACACAAATGTAAGATAATGATACTCTTATCGAATACAGAAGCCTATCAAAATAACTGTTTCTCATTAGTGCTGGTCTCTACTTAATGATAAAAGAAGAAGATGATCATTATATATTTACCTTCTTTAGACTATATCCTGCATGAAATATAATTGGTGGCAATAAAACATTGAAGAAGATTTCTGGATCAAATGTCATCTGCCAGAAAGGAAAAGAAGTATAGTTATAATTATGCTCCTTGGGGTCATTAAAAAAATATGTTTCAAAAAATAGTTATGGTTGCTTTTCCTAAGCCTGTATGAGGCATATTAACTATTAACTTTGCAGAAATGAAGGTAAGAAAAATGCAAATTTGGAAATTCATAAATACAGTATAACTAAATTCTAAATGTAAAATCTACATACTTCCACATTATAGCTAACAACAACAAAAACTCAGTGAAATCTCTCTGGAGGAAAATGTCTTATTGCAATTAATTATCTGTTCCTCATATTTTAACATCTTTTTATTTTATATATATATAAAAATATATATATGTTTACTGGGTTTTACTTAAATGTTAAAATAAACTTG